GGTTTACAGGAGACGAAATGTGATGGGTTTTCTAATGCTTGGTTTGCGTCAATTTGGGGATGCAGGAGCTGTGACTATGTCTTTGTGAGCGCTACTGGTCGTTCCGGGGGCATTCTTTTATCCTGGGATGTAAGTATTTTTGGTAAAGAGTCAGATTTCAAGGGTGATCACTTCTGTGGGGTGGTTGGTTCATGGCATAATGTGGACAAAAAAGTGGGTCTGATAAATRTCTATAATCCTCAGGCTCAATCGCTTAAGGCAAGAGTCTGGGAGGATCTTAGCTYGGTAATTCAAAGTGCTCCAGACGTTATCTGGGTAATTTTGGGGGATTTCAATGCAGTTCGGTATCCTGAAGAAAGAATGGGATCTATTTTCAACTCTAAAGAGGCTTTGGATTTTAATAATTTTATTTCTTCTTCTGGGCTTCTTGACATTAGTTTTTGTGGTAGGCGCTTCACCCGATTCAGCAAAGATGGTTCCAAGCTGAGCAAGCTTGATCGTTTTCTGGTAACTTCTAACTTTTTCTCTATTTGGAAAGACCCTTACGTTCAGGTCTTACATAGATCTATTTCTGATCACTGCCCCATTCTTCTGAATGTTAATAACTTTATTATGGGGCCCAAACCATTTAGAGTCTTTGACTCTTGGTTGGATATCGATGAATTTAAAAGTGCAGTTCTTTCGTCTTGGTCTTCAAGCTTTTTCCATGGGGTTGCTGATTTTATCTTTAAGGAAAAAGTAAAAGCTCTAAAGAATGACTTAAGAATATGGTCAAAAAAAATTTTAGCCAATGAATCAAAAAGAAAGGATGAGATTTTTAAAGATTTGGTTGATTGGGATTCTAAAGCTGAAGAGGGGAGAATTTCTATAGCTGATTGTCAAAAGAGAGATGAATGGATTTTCGAACTAATGATTTTGAAAAATCGTGAAACGTCGGATCTCAATCAAAAATCGCGATCTAAGTGGGCTTTAGAAGGAGATGAAAATTTAATAAACATTTTTGGGCTGTTCTCCATATTTGAAAAAAAAAAACCTTCACTCTCCTACTTTCTCCATATAAGGAAGCTATTGCACTACAACAAAATTGGGATTTTAAGGCACCCCTAATCTCTAAGCGCCTATAGTCCGCTTTATAGAACTTAATTTATATGACCAAAATATAAAGCGTCCTATTTAAAGGTGTTGTACTAAAAGTTTATATGACGCTTTTGGGCGTCTTAACAAATTTTTTAGGACATTTTTAATACAAAGTGTCGCATTAGCAACTTATAGAACACTTTTGAGAAAATGTCCTATAAACTCAATTTTTTATTAGACGTTTGTTTTTATAGAACTGTTTTTCAAATAGTGTCCTATAAAGTTGTTAACGGGACGCTTTATATTAAAAGTACTCTAAAAAAATTATTAAGATGTCAAAAAATGTCATATAAACTTATTACAACACCTTTAGATAGGATGTTTTATTTCTTTGGTCTTATAAACTAAGTCTTATAAAGACGTCTATTAAAACGCTTAAAAATTGAGAGTATTCTATAAACCCGATTTTATTGTAGTGTTGGGACTTAAAATTCCTATTTCATCTATTTTCTCCATTTGGATATGCAGTCTGGATGCTCTAATAATTTTGGTCAAAATGAAATAAGAAGGCAAACATGAGTAGTAGTCACAGTCTCAAGTAAATTCATTAATTAAAATTATTTAAATCATTTTTGTATTTTTTTTCCTTTTTGTAATTCTTATTCAACATTGGAGATTAAGGAGTTTGCTATCAAACTTGTTGCTAACTAGTTTATCTCATTTTTACCTACTTCATTTTACTCAAGGCTGTAAATACTTCCCATGATCTCACGTTTTACGTATCTACTTAATTAGATGGTGGAAGAATTTGGATCTATCTACCAAGCTACCTTATGTTCGAGATAGATTGGTTGAAGGCTACTTCTGGATATTG